GTTTAAATGCCCTTGTTGTAGCAAATTAAACTATTGCCGCTCACTCAGTGGCGTATTTACCATACTTCCACATCTGGTGGTGGGGGCCAGATGGAGGAGTGCCCAATTTTAGTGCCCATTATCTATGGGCCCATTCCCACCTATGTGTTTAAATGCCCTTGTTGTAGAAAATTAAACTATTGCCGCTCACGCAGTGGCGTATTTACTATACTCCCCCCTCTGGTGGTGGGGGCCAGAGGGAGGAGTGCCCAATTTTAGTGCCCATTATCTATGGGCCCATTCCCACCTATGTGTTTAAATGCCCTTGTTGTAGCAAATTAAACTATTGCCACTTATGCAGTGGCGTATTTACCATGAGGCAAACAAGGTCTTTTTGGGGGGGGGGGGGGGGTGGCGGTGCCGCCTAGAAGAAGGGACACACATGGCAGGGATGGGGACCTGGTGAGGCACTGCCAGTGCTCCGCCATGGAATCCAAGGAGGCTGCTGGAGGGTGTAAGGAGAGTTCCCACACAGGAAGACACTGGGCTTGGCTCTGGGGATGGCTGGCTGCGTTCCGAAGAGGTTAGATTAGTGCTTGTATAACTCTCTCTCTGTGTGGGTGGAATGGGGGGGGGGGGGTTGGCAAAGGGTGGCGGCTGCCATTTTAGTGTTGGCTAGGGCAGAATAAGAACTAAATACAAAACTGTGTCCACATAACACATACGTGCAGCTGCAAAAGGGTAGACTTTAACGCCCAGATGCCGCACATATGAGTTTTTTGGCTGCCAGTCTTTCTGTGCTGAGAGCATGCTCACTACACTCCCCTGGAAGAGAGACCAAGCTGTCAAAGAGAGCTCTTGAGCTTGACTAACAATCTGTAGCTGGCAAGACCCACCCCCAGTAATGTGACCATTGTAACAGACAGTCACATTGGTCACATGATCGCTGATCCTTCCCACTCCCCAAGCGTTCAGAACTTTTTAAAGGGATACCATGCTGGACTGGAAGATGATAGTGCATGCTGACTGATTCATCATTGTATTTAATAGTGCTAGTTCACACCTGTGCATTGAGTTGATAAGTAATAGCCAAAAAAGTTCATGTCTGCTTTTTGGTACATTGACATCCATCGTAAGGTCTATTCATAGGAATGGCATTGCATGTCAATACATAACAACTAACTGCTCAAAGCAATGAAAAAACACAAATGCATAGGTATGAAGTCAACCTAAATATTCTATTGTCCATTTTTCCATCTCAGAAAAGTGTAATGTATTCCGAGAAAGCAAAATGGTTCCAGAAGATAAAGAAGGAAGGCACCCTCTGCTTGAGAATAACAAATTCCCCTATTCCATGTCATCACTTGTGACCTGGCATTACAAAGTTAAAAGGATGAAGGAATATCTTCCTTGATAAAACATTACTATCTGTATAGAAGGGGATTGAAAAGATGAGAAACGGTAGGGAGCTTTAACTGGTGGGACACTTGATGATAGTTCTCATAGTTTAGGACTCCTAAACGTTGGAGTCTCTCCCTATGCTAGGACACCTTTAATTTATACAATTTTATCTGATAACCTTCTAAAACTCCTCCATAGTCATCCATAAATGCTGTTAAATCCTCTTTACATAAACCAGTGTGTAATTTATGTTTAGTGCCCTTTAACTCACAACAGGATTGTGTGTACTCTCTATTTCGGCTAGACTGTAACAGCGGCTTCTGTGCCCAACGGGTGCCCTAATGGTTTTGGACACGGTACTGCGCTAAGGCCTCTTTTGAGGCTCCATCCTCTAGGCAACATGGCTGCCTTTGCAATCAGTGTTTACTTAGTCCCCAGGCTGGAGAAACCATCTGGCATCCTCCAGGCCCCTGTTGTTTTTAAAGTCCTATTAAGTTTTCCAAGATCTCAAAAGACCTTTATTTTATTTCTGAACAGCCAGAGAACCCTCCCCGTCAATCAAGGGGACATGCAGAGACTAAAAACTGGCAGCCTGGTTCTTTCAAACTCTAGTTGATGTGTTATAAAGAGTACTGGTGGACTTTTCAGTAAACTGTAGAACATTAATGAGAATGCATTCAAGTCTCCTGCCAGGGTGGTCACTATTACGGGAACTGAAGTATTCTGACTCATCAGCAATGTTTCCAGCATAGCACAGTATTCTTTGAACCCTTCCCATCACCTAATGACCAACTTCAAAATTTAACACACTCAAAACAATACATTTTTGCCTTTTTCTATTAGGGAGACTCAACAAGAAGTGGAGGGGATGCTCTCCTGAACAGTTGCCACCAGACCAAGAATCCTCATTTGATCCTTTAGACTCTGGTTCATGTGTTTTAAAGACAACCATGGTCTTCTCATTATTCTGTAGAACACATACCCCTTTTTGCCTCCTGTAAAGGTGTGTGTGTGTGGGGAGGGGGGGGGGGTTGAAGTAGTCTGCTTCATCTGTAAAATTCTATGCATAACCCAACATTCATTGAACTCCTCCATCTCACCTAAACACCGACTTCATCATTTGGCACATTCAAAATAAGCACTTATTGGCTTGTTTGGAGAGTTCAAAGTTATGGAGGGAGCCAACCAAAGAAAACCAAGGTCCCCTAAAAATACATGGCAAGTATCATTAAAACCAAAACTTTTTTTTTCTTTTGGGAAGACCCAAATGAAGTAGAAGGGCATGTTCTCCTAAATAATTGTCACCAGACCAAGTGTCCCCATTTAATCCTTCAGATTTTGGTTGATGTGTTTTAAAGAAAACTAATGGTCTTCTCATAAATCTTTACAACACATACCACTTTCTGCCCGTGGTAAAATTCCAGATGCCTGTATCTTCCAGGACCCATGGAAATGAATGCATTCCAATATCCTGCCAGGATGGTCACCAGTCCAGGAACAGAAGTATTCTGCCTCTTCTGCAAAGTTTCCAGCATAGCATAACATTCTTTTAACCCCTATCCACACCTAATGGCCATCTTAAAAATTCAAAACAGTCAAAGTAACCCTGATTGACTTGTTATTACAGTCACTATTTGACTTGTTTGGGTAGTTTAGTAATAAAAGCAGGGCTGGGAAGAGTGGGGCAAAAGAAACCAAGGATCCTCCTCAAAATACATTGAAGGTATATCTAAATCCCTGGTGCCCAACCTGTGACCCCACACTACATGCATCCCTTTGGTACTTGATATATGGCCCTCAGACACCAGGGGCCTATAATAGTTGGTACTTTGATTTGTAAAAAGGTAACACTGGTGATCTCTACTAGCCTTATGGGACATGTCCCCCATCTCCCTTTGTCTTCTGCAGCATGTCTCCAGCCTCCAACTGAACTTGTAGCATGTCCAGCCTTTGGCCATCATTTACTCTAGTATGTCTTATTATAGTCCTTAGTATTACTTTTACTACACATTATGTGTACTAGTCTGGTGATGTCAAGGGCTGCAATTGGTGCCCTCTATACCTTATAAATTAATGACTACTGATCTAAAGCCAAACTTTTTTTGGCTACTGTTTCCTATTGGGAAAACACAACAGGATGTGAGAGGAGATCTCTCTGACGTGAAGGAGATGCTTGCTTAAACAGTTGTCACTGGGACAAGAGTTCCCATTGTAAGATTTCCTCTCTATTCCTCTTTGGGTGGCAACTCAAAAGTTTTGATTTTACCATACTTTAGTCCCAGAGAGAATTGTCACCAGGGTAAATAAAGAGGACGAATCTCTAGATTGGAGACAAAGTCAACAATAAGACCCCAATAGAGACTTCTAACTCCCCACCACTCTGTCCAAAGCCAAATAAAGAGTCTTGGCTTTAGATACCCTTGAAGTATAACATTGTGTTCTTAAAATGAAGTTATTTGACACTGCACCACAAGGGGTTTAACCCTCTAAGTGTCATTAGAAAATGCTGCTACAGTCTTCCTCCATTGCTGGTCACATGAACAAAAGCCTAGGCATCCAGTTACCTTACCATGGTTGAAATCAGGGTTGACAGTCCAGACTGGTGGTAGGATAAGTCCAGACCACTTTTAGTTATAAAATGAGTGGGGAAAGATAAGAACCCATGTTGGGTTTTTACATCTATTTGGGTCTTCATTAGAGACATTCCCCTATACCTCCTGGCCTTGTAAAAACACTTTCATCAGACAGAAAAAAGGGAAAAATCGTAAAAAAAAAACATGGCGATTCTAATTCTTCTTCAAACAAAAAAACATAATACATTTTAATCTTCCTCTTCAAAAGAAGCAATGTGATTCAGTGCCTAGGCTAATAGAAAAACAGCACTGCAGGGATCCCCAAGCAGCACTTTCTCCAGGAAAGGTATTTCAGCCCTTATTATTTGTGAATAGGTCTGAGTTACAGTTCATGGGTGGAACCTTTTCCAAGGGTAGCCAAGTCTTTTTTGTTCTTGCAGCCAAGTCTCAGGGTCTCAGGCACAAGGCAACTTTCTCCAACGCGGACTCTCTTTTGGGAAGACACCATACTTTTAGCATTTGTATTCCCCTTGCAGTGTCTGTTAATAATTTAATTCCCATTACAAGTGGCGGTGTTGTAGTCAAGGAAAAAGATTTATAGATGGAATGCGCTCCAGGTTTTGTCTTCCTCTGTTTTCCCTGGCATTTTTCATGCATTTTTTAATTTGCATCAACGACTCGCTACCATCTGGTGGTCATTATTGCAAAGAAATATTCATTCACTCCCACCCAGTGCAGTGGCTGCCATCCATCATGGAACACAAAGGTGACACTGTAGCTTTAACGGGTAACACTTTCTGCGCCACGTTAAAAGAAGAAAAACTTCACTTTCTAATTCAAGTTGATAAACTACGAGGTAATCTGTGTGGGAGAGAATTGATGGTTAAGTCTTGTGAGTTTAAAAGGAAACTCCAGGCAACAAGTGAAAGCTGCCAGTGAGCTACCGATGCTATCCAGCAATCACTGCAGTTGTGGCAAAGTCAGAAAGTTCTTTAATATGAGCTTTCTGCACTCTGATTGACCTTGAATCTTGATGGCTCCTCACAGGGTCACTGGGTGTGTACATCCTCAAATGCCAAATCCAGCCTATGTAATCTTTCAGATCTTCTCTAGCTGAAGTTTATGAGAAAAAGCTCAGGTTGCAATCAGGGGCGGACTGACAACTCATGGGGCCCCTGGGCAATAGGGGATCATGGGGCCCCTGTGTCCTTGCCCAAACTCAAAAAAGCCTATGAAAAGGTACCATGGGGCATCTCATGGGGCCCCCTACTGACCCTGGGGGCCCTCGGGCAGTGCCCGAGTTTCCAAATGGTCAGTCCGCCCCTGGTTGCAATACTCACCTTTAATCAGCAACCCCTTGCAGTACTTCTTTTCAGTCACTTACACATTATTGATGCAGAGAGTAGTGATGATGTCGTCCCATCAGTGCTCCTCCTGGAATCACCCATGAATGCCCACCAAATGGAGAATACTCAAGAAGGAAGAGGACCCAGGGTAATATATGATGAGCAGAATGTCAACAGGGAATGGTAATAAATATGTAATTAGATACATAAATAAAAAAAAAAAATAAAAACAGCACCGGGGACCTCAATGACTATTTCCTCTAGTAAATCTTCAGTTTGTTACAGTTTTCTGTAGCATTACATATAATGCATATTATAAGTGGCCCTTTGGAGACATCAGGGGTCACATTTGAGACCTCCTTTATCTTGCAAATCGACAAACGCTGCTTTAAGGCCCCACCCCTTGCGTGCAGCCCAGATCAAGGAATACATACCTTTTCCCTCATTCCTCCACTGTGAGGCTCTTCCCAAAGCCAGGGACAGAGTATTGCACCAAGTATGGATCAGGTGCGCTGCACTCAAGGCAGTGAGGGCATTCCTTAAAGCGGTGGTCTCCAAACTGTGGCCTGCAGGCCAAATGTAGTTGTTTGATTGCCTTTATTTGGCCTTTGGGGCACTATTCTTCCCATGGATAGAGGGCACTATTCCTCCCAATGACACTCATGATGGGGTGCCATACCTCCCACTGATACAAGGCACTATTCCTCCCAATACACTCATGATACCAATGATACAGGCACTCAGACCTTACTGATACCAATGATTAGGCATCAGACCATAGTGGAGCATAATTACTCCAATTGACATCAACGACAGGACGCTATTCCCTTCATGAAATCAACAGTGAGGCATAATTCCTACCACTGATATAAACAACGGAACACTTTCTCCAACTGACACCAAAGATGGGGCACTATTTTTCCCACTGATATCAATGATGTGGCATTATCTTCCAGTTGATACCAAAAAAGGAGCACTATTCCTCACATTGACACCAACAAAGGGGCACCATTACTCCCAATGACATTGAAAATGGGGCATTATTCCTCCTACTGACAGCAGCAATGGGGTATAATTCTTCTTATTGATACCAATGATGGGGCACCGTTTCTTCCACTGACATCAACAAAGGGGCACCATTACTCCCAATGGCATAGAAATGGGGCACTATTCCTCCTACTGACACCAGCAATGGGGTATAATTCCTCTTACTGATACCAATGATGGGCACCATTCCTTCCACTGACATCAACAAAGGGGCACCATTACTCCCAATGGCATAGAAATGGGGCACTATTCCTCCTACTGACACCAGCAATGGGGTATAATTCCTCTTACTGATACCAATGATGGGGCACCATTCCTTCCACTGACATCAATGGGTCACTATTCCTTCCACTGAAATCAACGATGGGGTATGATTCCTCTCACTGATACCAATGATGGGGCATTATTTGTCCTACTATGACAACAGGCGATATGTAATTTTGTTTTTTCTCCCACTGACCACCAAGTCTGACGCATTGTTTATTGCCAATGATGCCGGGACAAATTTCTTCTCCCTCTGGTCAGTCTGGTCCCCTCTAAAGTCTGAAAGACAGTAACATGGCTCTTTGTTTAGAAAGTTTGGAGACCTCCACTTTAAAGGACAACCTGTACCAAAAGTACTCTCGTCCTTTAACCCCCACCTGGACCCTGGCAAAGTCTACTTTTGAATCCAAAGAACATAGGCAGATAAAGATCCATAATAAAGTTTTCTAAAGCCCTTTCCAAACTCTACAATTGTTCTGGAGAGACGATTGTTCTGTATCCTCAGCAAAGTCTGACTTTCTCTTTAATTGTCGAGCACTTCACCGATACTCATGATCCATTAAAGAGAACAATAGTCGTGTTGTTTAATCATCCTACAAAGCCTTCTCCCTCTTTTAGAATGCATTTGATATCGGCACCTGTATGGGCGACATCTGTTCGGCAGCTTCAAACCCACCTAGCAAAGGAATAAATTACAATTATCTGACAGTGCCCCGTTATTAATGTCCTCAAGTTGAAGAAGATTCATTCGGTATTAGCAGGCATATATTTGGCGGGCCTCCCAGATAAATCATCCTTGACGATCCCCCCTTTTTAAAATTTTAATCATTTATTTTCCTTTTGTTTTCGCCGCGTACGTATTCACACCAGCCTCTGCCATTCTTCTTTGGCGGCTGCCGGCTTCTGTGGCCGTTGGCTGCACGTAGCATCCAGCTGCCTATTAATCAGGAAGAATAATGACATCACGGCCTGGTAAAGACTCCCTGGGGTCCCACGCCGTTATTACCTGCGCAAGGTTGCAAGTGTGCCTTTCCATGTCTTTCCTTCTCTCCACTTTCACAAGATTTCTCTCTTTCATGCAAGCGATGAGTTCTAATAACTTCTAGCGCGACGTACGGGGCGATGTTTAATGATGTAGCGCACTTCTAAGATTTCAAAATCGTGCACTTGGGGTTTGTACAGTTATTGCCAGTTTACTAAGATGAAGTCAAATTGGCATCGCCAGTTCAGGTTTTTTCATTGGTTGCTTCTAGTCCTGACAAACCCATAGAGATTTGATGTTGGCTGCCACCTTGGGGTGTCTAAAGTTGCCTTGAGACCTTAGCAGGCTTCCTATTTAACCTCACATCCTCATATTAAAAGGTTGGGCTCAAATTTTTTAGGAACTATCTATTCCCTCCCCCCCACCACACACACACACACACACACACACACACACTCAAAACCACACCCAAAAAAAGCCTATGAAAGGTACCAGGGGCATCTCATGGGGCCCCCTACTGACCCCGGGCTCTCGGGCAGTGCCCGAGTTCCCAAATGGTCAGTCCACCCCTGGTACAGAAAACACTGCGAATTCTGCACCGCATTTGTGTGAACCCGGGCTAAAGGTGCATAATTATAAAGCAGTCAGTGTCAGGGACCATCGCGATGCATGGGTCTACACAGGCGTAGGTGTCTGCCAAGACGTGTAGGTGGCAGGGCACTAGGACCCAGGCGCACCCGTCGTCTTGACAGTACTAGGCAGGCACTAGGACCTAGGCTGCGCCTGTCAGGTGCAGGGTGGGCTATTTAAACCAGCTCTGCACAAACATTTGTTGCCGAATGGTCTTTGTATGCTGTTACCTGTGTTGTGAGTATCTTGATCTGGATTGTTTGACCTTGCTGCCTTCTCCTGTCCTGACCCTTGGCCTGCCTGACTCTGCTCCTGGATGTTCCCCTTTAAATATGATCTTTTGGTATTGACCCTGCGTGTGACCCGACTATCCTTTGCCTACCCTTTTGTACCTCACCGACCCGCTAGTTACCGACCCGGCCTGTATGACTTTGATTTAGCTCATCCATCCATCCATCCTGCAGGGATCACTAGGCTCCCTCACATCAGACTCTTAGCCCCCTGGAGCTCCTGTCAGACTCCTCTACCCCTGTTGGAGATACCTAGCAGCTGCGACCTGGTACCGGAGCGCTCCAAGTCCATCCCCACCATCAGGGGCCCTGGTGAACAAGTGCTTCGGTGCTTAGACTCCGCACTCTGGGGAGGCTCTGCCAGGGGATTGATAGAGGTGCTGTCACGCGGTCCATTACAGTCAGTGTGACTATCACCACACATTTACTGGCGGTGAATCAACCACTACCATTTAAAACACCTGCAGTGAATGTTTGGTGAATGTCAGAGTACAGGATTAGTTCACCCATCCTAAAACAAAAATCATCATTCTCCCAACCCCCATCTCCCCCTGGGTCCCCACTGAACTTAGCTCCTTGGACAAATATCTTTCACTGCTCATGCTAGCTAATACAGCAGCCCAGGCATTTGAAAACTCACATGCACCCTTTTTTCATTTGGGATGCATCCTGGAACAAAGAGAGATTGTCATTGGTCAGTACGGTCATGTGTGTGCTGGTGCTGACCAATGCCCACTTACAATGGCCAGCCTCTTAATGCTACCAAGGCTGCTGTTAGATGCCACCGGGTCCCTTACAGCCAACCTGACAGGACCCCCCAAACCACAGGGCCCCATACAGTCAACCTAACAGGGCCCCCCCCCCCCATCCCCACAAAAAAAACACAGTTTACTATGCTTCAGTTATATTTCAATATTTTTATTGAAATGTTTGAGAACATAACAGAGTAAGAATATTCGGTTCATTGGCAAACATGTTAATACATCACGGTATGAAATATTTACCCCACCAATTGGCTGGGGTTGATAACGGTTTATAAAACATCAATATCAGGGGTATTCTTAATTTCATGTTGAACCTTGGTAAAGCGTATGGGGTGTTGAGGGGGTATTAAACAGGGAAGGAATGGGAAGGAGGGTAGGGAGAGGAGGGGGGTATGTGTAACGGGGTCGAAGAAGGGATACCAGTCTAGAGTTGGGGCGCAACTCAGTTTGTGTTTAGGTTATCAGAATTGTACAGAGCAGTTCGGATTTTGTGACCAGCGAGTCCATTGAGATATGAATTTGTATTGGGTGGAACTGTTAAAGGCGGATCTTTTTTCCATTTCACCATGCTTCAGTTATGAATGAACACAGTGAGTGTTCAGTACCGATCACTCATTGTGTTCATTCAGGAATGGAAGGGACTGGTAAATTACTGGAAGTGATCCTCTATATGTTTTCTCTGCAGCAGCTGAAAGCCATTGCGGGGGGGGGGGGGGGGGAAAATAAGTTCCTTGTTGACAAAGTCCGGAAGTGACAAAACGCGTCCAGGGCACGTGACGTATTGACGTTCCCGGAAGTGCCGCGGCAGCCATTTTGGATTCTGGAACCCTTGTGTGTCGGCGTTCCTGAAAGTAACGGTACACTCCGGGTGTCCCCCCGGAGCAGAAGCGACAGTGTTGGACAGGAGTGGGAAGGGGGAATTTCCTGGGGATCGGGGGAACTTCTATACATGGAAAGGGGGTCTTATACTGGTCGCTAGGAGCAGGATGCCGATTTTATCGAT